TATTAGACATTCGCAGTCGCTATGCTTTGGGTGATCACATGTTGATTTATTTTAAAGGTGATCAGTTGTGCGTTTTAGTGGCTTACCATTTGTTTTCTATTTTGGCTCTAAACGACAAATATATCAGTATACCACAGAACAAGTATTAGAAAAATTTGTTGTTTCAGATTTTGATAAAATATTGTAGGAAAGTGTTACTGATATATTGCTATTCTATTAAAATTAATTGAAAATGTTCAGGACTTTCGAAGCCCGTGAAACTCTTTAAAAAAACACGTGAAGATACAAAAACCAATAACATTTGATTGTTTTTTAGACGAGTAAATCAATTAAGCTAGCTGTAACGCTTTAGTTAATATAATGTATTCATATTATTATTTTTAAATTAAATTTACTTGTTTATAACTAAAATCCATCTTATATCTACATTTTACTGAGTTGTTAACTTCAGTTAATTACTCAACCAATTTTGCGTGAAATTCAAAGTAGCTTCATATGTAGAAACGAAGAGTCATTAACATACCTATTATCTGCTTATTTTATATCATTATATAAATAATATAATTGGATAATATAATTAAGAATTTAAATCTATGGTATTTATAAAATAAATAATTTAAGGCTGAAAATATTCCATAAAAATATAACGAAATAGTTATAATTTGTAAGAATAATGCATCAATAAGATTTATATTTACAGAATCTTTAAATTACAATATATTGTGATTGGTACTAATAATTGAAAAATTAATGTAATTAGAAAATGAATTACCGAAATTGTTTTGCTTGTGTTTTACAGAGAAGGAAATGTTTTTAAATTAAGAAATAAGTTCAATGAAATTATTGTTTTTAACATTTAAATGAATAACAAAATACTGTAATATAAAAATATGCAAGTAAATATGAACTTTTAAATTAATTTAAATCCTCAAATGTATTTATGAACATATTATAGTAATTAGGAAAACCACTTGAAAACAACTGTTAAGATTCATTAATATATATTTCTGAAAATGTTTGATATGTGGAAAATTTCCTATTTTGAGTATTTCACTGACATTTATATTATTATATATAAATACATATGGATATAGACTCACTAATGAAAATATATAAAGAGAATGTTGTAATCTAAGCTAATATCATCTTTAAAATGCTACAAACATTTATAATGACAATAATAATTGTAATTTCAATTATTTTGAGAATAAGATAACTATCTTTAAAACATTAGTTTTATTTATAAATTTTGTGAAGTTGAAATACAAACAGTGGGAGAATTCAAATAATTTGTGTGAAAACATTTTTGGTAACTGCAGCATTATTTCTTAAATTTAAACTCTAAATTATTATTAATCTATCAATCAGTTCTTTCTCTAATCTTTCTGTGTAATATGAGAACATCTGATGATTTAATTCATATTTTTTATGAAATTAAGATAAGATACTGCTTTCGAATTTAAAACTATTTGAACTGTCCCCCCATGTCATTTATCGTATGTAACACAAATTGTTGTAAAATATGTAAAATTAATATACAAAATGTAAACAAATACATTTAGCATTAATATTGTAAATAAATGAATGGAAAAATTATGTCATGATTTTTATTTCTGCAATTTTAAAGGGCCAAAATATTAAGTTTAGTGGATATGTAAGTACCATAGACGAAGAATTTTATTGTTAGTCTATGCTATATATAAAAAATTATGTCACATATAAAAAAAATCTACTTTTATTCAGATTTAGATATAACTGGTATATAAACTATCAAATCAGCAGCAGGTTTTTGTTAGAAAAACCTTATATGTATGTACTTCAAATTTAGAACTTGAGAATAATTTACAAAATGCAATCCCTTCTATTTGATTTGCCAAAATCGGACCACTATATTCTATAGTTGTCATAAACAGAGCAATCGGGTTTGAGTTTTTTCCGTTTTCAATAAAGATATTGAAATGAAATCACATCGAAAACTTCAAATATTAATAACTATCGTAAAATGTAAATGAGACGTCGATGTAGATACAAAATTTTGTGTGTACCATAGAGATTTAAAGTTCCAGCAAAGCCAAAGCTAGTATCATCTTTACCTTGACAAGCTTATTTTCGTATAAGATTTGTTGATTTAGGATTATATTGATCATAAAAAACCTACAGTCAGAAAAGTAAGTCTTAAAATACCCTTCAAAAGAGGAGTTTAAAGAGTGCACATTTGATCAAAATTGTAAGTATAGATTTTATTATTTTATATAATAACATTTCATCATTAAAAAATGCTTTAATAATTTTCTATTTCTTTGTCAATTAATTTAAATAATAAATAATAATCTTAAATAATAATTTACTTGTCTCTATCATCAGCAAATTTTTTTTATTATTTCTATTTGATATTTTCCTCTTTCGGTAGTATAATGGACGAATAGAAATGGAAGGAGCCGAGCCCATTATAGGACAGTGGAAATAGAGTGATGCCCACTTAAGTTTGTAGCCTTACTGGACTTATCACATTTCTTAATAGTATAGACTTTTTAATAAATAACAATCTATTCGACAGCCTCCATATCGTTTTTACGCTTTAGGCGACGTCAAACGGGTAGAAAATGCCAATTGTATTTAATAAAATGCAAAATAATTAACGCAAATTGGAATAAAATAAAATAAATACAAATAGAAATTTTAAGGGAAAGGAATTCATTCATTAAATTAATGAAAAAGCAGGGAAAATTCGATATCGTCTTGTAACAGAACAATATATAATAAAGAATTCAAAATTTTTCTCACAAGACTAGACAAATCTTATATATCTTGAATTGTAAATATCCTTTATTAAAAAATAAACCAGTCGATAGAACATTGGAATGAATGAATGATTTAAAAACATCCTGTTCCTTTTAAGATTGATTCATTAATTCTTACTGCTGAAGACACTTAGATTATCAAGAGTTTACAAGGTATTAGAAGGAAAGTATTGTTAATCAAACAGCATTTATGACGTCAGAGAAAGTTATCATTATGAAAATTCAATTATTGAAATAATCGCAGTCAAAATTTTAATTCAATTTATATATTTAGGACGAATTACATAATTCAAATATGAATTGCAATATAAAACCCATTCGAACTTATAAAAATAATTAAATTTTTAACTGTACCGGTTCTCGGTGCGTCTCTATTGCATATTCCCATGCGATGGAAAAATAAAAGTAAGTATTTATTCCAAAAGGAACACATTGACCATGTGAAAAAATATTTATAATCTACTAAAATTTGGAAAAATCCGAGTAGGTCTGTCAGAAAATCAGTATGATTTTAATCAAGTATCAATCACTATCACTACTGTAAGAATGAGATGATTAGGAGACGATAATAATATATGATACCTAATCTGGAATCTTAGGGATACAAAAATCAAAAAGAGTGGCAATAATTAGTTGCACTGTAGAAGTTGTATCAAAAACCAAATCAGATGTTTCAGTGAAATGCAGTGAAACAATTCAACACGTAGAGAATTGGCTATTAAAACGCAATCTTCTATTAGTAGTACTGGTAAGTAGTCGAAAAAAAACTTGAAAGTCTTGACATCTGAATTGGCAGTGTCCTCATGACTTTCAGTCTTCATATTAAATACTTTAGTGTGACCAAAACAAAACAACGGAAATTCTTGGTTGCTTGAATACTTCGATCCATTTGTCTTAGCTGCACTTGAGACTAGTACAATTAAGTACAATTAAGGCTTACTTGAAAGAATTTACAGGAACTCATAGACTAATGTGTCGGTGAGTGTGTGTTATGAATTTTAAACTGTTTCGAATGATGCAACTGACATAGGTTCTAAAAGAAAGCTAAAGCTACTAATTGGCAAAAGAAACCAAACTCATTAGAAACAACATAAGTGCTTCGAGAAAATCAGCTGAGTATAGAAAAGTTACATCTGGAAAAGACTGATAGACCCACAAAATTGAGTTCAAATGAGTTCACTTTTCCGAAACCGCTTAATGAATTAGGTAATTCTGTTTAAAATAACAGAACAATTATGGCCACAACATGGTTCAAAGCAAACGATATCGATATCAACCAAATCTAGCGACAGCACGCAAACAGTGAATTAAATTCTGTCATAACGAGAAATGAGAAGAAGAAGATTAGAAAGGAGTCTCCCAGTGGGCTTTGTAGAATATGAAGTCATATGTACTTATTTATATATATTTAATCGTTGTTGTAATGAATAGTAAATTAATTACCTAATTTAAGAAAAAAATGGTGTGCTGTGATGTTTGATAGCCATCTCCGAACTATTTGAACAAATATTATGTGATATCAAGAAACTAAAAACTGTTTAATGATTTCGGCTTTAAAATTTTATCATTATTTCCATTTATATTTTAAAATCATCAAATCTATAGTGTTAGGAATAGGACTCTTTCATAACGTCCTATGCTTTTGTAAAGTTGAAGATTCTGAAAATTGATAAAAATAATAGAAGATTTATAATAAAAATTGAAGGAGGTAATTTGTATTCTGAAAATTAAATTGTATCCAGTGTCGCCGCCAGAGACACTGGCAGTCGAAGGAAAATAACTGTTGTATTTGCAATTAACTGTTGCAATATAGTCGATTGACTGAATCCGTCAAATATTTTTCGTGGTCATTGTCTTCAACTACTTCTGCAGTAGAAAAATCACATTAACGCATGTCAGCTGAGTACGACCGATTGTTATTTCAGAATCGTTATTTAGTTTATCCATATAGCAATGTAATCATTTTAAGAAAGTAAATTATATTGTCTTATAACGCGTTTAAGTTTTTTTAATATGTCTACATAAAACAGAATATATGCTTCACAACACAGCAAGTAAACTGCACACTAGCCTAATTGCACAAGAACCCCAGTCTATACACTAACATAAGCCAATTATTGTCGATTTGTATTGAAAATCAATATCAGTAATAAGTCATTAACTTTTCCAACTAAGTTTATTTAATCGATAAAACTACAGAAACATAATTTATCTGCGTCTGATTCTTGTTTTTTTAAACTAACTTATTAAGATTTTTCATACTCATTTTTGTTCCAGATACATCCAGACGTGTTTTGCCAATCAGTTCTTCAGATTGTATTATGTATTGTGCATGATCGTGTTTGGCCGAATCATAGCTATGAGCCTTCAGGATAGCTGGGGCATCCAATTTCGTCTTAGATGCATTTTTAATTGCTGCTTTCGTCAAATTTTTTATGAAATTAATTAATAGATCATTCAACTGGTTAACACTTTCCGTGCTATATTCTTTTACACCCATTCCAGCCATTAATTGCTTTATTTCGGTGCAAAAGTTTGGGTAACGGGCAACTCCAGTTGCAAGCGATTTTTTTTTAATTATTTTTTTCTAAAAGTATATATTTAGTAATAATGTTTTAACAATATATATGTTATTCACTTACGCTCATTTCTCAAACTTTGCTTGTTGTACCTATTTTGACAAATTTTAACTAAAATCGTATTATTCAGAACTAGATGCAGCAACTTTATTGGAGAGTGTGGAGAATTTGATCTCATCTGTGTGAAATTATTATACGTATATTTTCCAGAATTCATAAAACAGAAAATTTTGTTCTGTGTTTTATTAGCAATTTTTGTGCAATTGCTAGTAAAATATTATTTTTCAATTTTATTCAATTGCGATTGGTTAAAAAAAAGAATTAATTAGGAATATTTTACAACGAAGACTTAAAATAGTTGATATCAATCTATATCTGTAATATTATAATATAATGTTTAATTTGTAATGTAATTGATGAAATCAGACGGTTTGGTTATCTTAATCCGTCGTATGAAATCTTCTGTTTGAAGGAGTGATTAAGCTTCTGTGTCGCATTAAACTTTAAGTCCTTTTTTATGTGCTTCAACCTAAAGCGTGATTATTTTAGCAATCGACGGAACCCCCAAGTCATTCAAAATATTAATGACTTACGAAGATTGCTTACTAAAATTTAAAATTCAAATTCATACTAACATGTAAGTCTATAGGAGTATTCAATCTATTTTGCAAATTCATTGCAAAGTTTTCTGCAATTGCTACCAACCTTGGTATACCTAAATCGATGCATGTATGATCGCAATAAAACAAAACATTAAAAAACAACTGTTTTGACATCTGTTGTTTCTCATGTGGATGTGGTATGCTGCTAAAACAGCTGTTTCATTTTGCAGTTACAATTCTGCAAGAGAGGAGTTCTCGCATTCTTACACTTCGTGTACTTTGCAATGACTTTGCAAGACAGAGTGAATACAATAATATAATAAATCATAGCCAAATCATGTTTTTCTACATAATGTTATTAAAATTAATATGCTTTCCTAACATTTAAAGTCTGAATTAGTTGTGACTTTAGTAATCAGCTGATTCGTTCAACTTAATCGCCTTTGATAATAACATATTTATGAAAGAAATCCAATTAGCAAATATTTTCGTCTCATAGATCTTATACTTTCAAGCGTTTTGGAAAGCTCTAAGCCGGCGAATATAACATATAATAATGTATGAAATGCGGAACTAATGCAACAAGATGCAATTGTAGTAGTTGGTTACAATTGTCACAGACTTAAAAATGCTGTCCCGAACCTTGCAGTCAATTCCGTAGATAATAATTCTTTTCAATGGGTTCATCATTTCAGTTAATTTGGCAAACCTGTAAGAAGTTAGTTTCACACAGTGTAGAAGTTAAAACAGCATTTTAGACATAAATCAATGAGTTACTTTTTGTATATGTCGGCCATATAAAAACACTTTATACGTGCTACAAAAATATACGATGTCATCCACAAATCAATCAAAATATTTTTCAGATCACGAAGATTACGAATTAAACTATTCTTTAAAACATAAACCTATAAGATGGAAGAATAGTCAATATATGATTAAATCAAATATATGAACATGTATTTATTTTATATTGAAACAATTTATTTTATTATTGCCTTTCATAATGCAATTCATAAATAAATAAGAGATTCTAAAAACATTTTTCTAGTATTAGTTACTACTAAAATTTGACTTATGACGTCATATGCTAAATGAGTGATTTAATGAAGTCAAAGGGAACATACTATTAGTCGTGCTCGTTCGTGTTTAACACGAGTCTTTGAGAATTAGTTTAAATACTTACACGATTTTGATTATTTGTAATCTTGGAATTAGATATAGATTCTTATATTGTATTGAAATCCTATGAACTATTTTAGTTTAAACAAACACTGATGTCATTGTTGCTATTAATGAGTACATCCAAGTATTTGGCGCTTTGAACTTCTTCAAAAGTGAATTCACCAACTTGAATGGGCTCTAAAATTCAGCTGTGCGAAATTAGAATATTCCAGAAATATTCCTCGGATATTCCATTTCAACGATACATTATATTGTCTCCTATGAAGATATAGTGAGATGTCAACCTCCATTAAATTTTATATTTCATATTATTTTACGCTATATATAATGGACATTTATATTCATATTTAAATATTCATATTTATATTGTTTTGTTAATAAAAATACTGCAGCCTTTTATATAATAATGTTTAAGTTTTTTTCCTTGATTCAACAAATTTATTAATTAAAATATATATTTTGATTGTTAAGCCTCGTTTTAATAGTTTTTACCAAAAATTACTTTGTTTTGGGTTATATATCATCAAAATAACAATTAAACGTCCTATTAGGATATGAATTGGACGTTGTAACCAACTGAAAGAATTGGTGTGAATGCCTCCATATTCTCATCTGAAAAAGACAACATTTGATTGAGTCTTTTAAAATCGGTTATTAATGGCAACACTATTATATAAAAGGAACTTATTGGAAACGAATGTATAAACGGAAGCTGAACGAAACTCATTCTATTTGTACATCTTGATTGGTTCGGACGTGTGTCGGAATAATTGCAGTGAAAATGAAAGTTAGAGGCAATATAGAAATTAATTATTCAAAAAAACGTGATCGTCCTAAAAAGGTGATAAATCATTAGTAATAAAGAAATAATGGCCAGCTTAAAAAGGTGATTACATCTTTAATAGTTAATAGTGAAAAAAAATGTGGTCGCTTGGCAAAAATTCATGGACCCAAATCGGCAAACATTCGTGAAAAAGCACGAATTGCGGTACGTGAAGAGCGTGTTCGTTACACAAAAATCTATAAAATAAAAGTGCAAAATGATTAAATAAGGACTGTTATAATCTAAATTGAGCAATCGTTTATCAGATATCCGGGAAGTGAACGCGCTAAGCGTAAAATATTCGTAAACCGAAAGACCAAAACGGCGGACCAGCATCACGTAAAATGCGCAGTTGCTTGCCAAATATTCGGAAACCGAATGATCAAATGGAGATTAAAGATAACTCTCAAATATTTGAAGACAAAATTTCTGGTGAGTATTTGAGAAAGAAAATAGTTACTGCATAAATTATATATTATTTTTTTGTAATATATTATTTTCTACGATTAGTTGAAATATCTCAGCCTACTAAGTGTAGTATTAAATTTACGTATATAAATTATATTTTTAATTGGTATTTAAACCAAAAAAAAATTATACAAATTTAATTTGAGTTTTGAATACTTTATTTTCTGAACGTCTGCTAAGTTTTAGAATTACTTACAAACTAAAACATTAGAATTAAAATTATTAAAATCATTATTCAAAGAGAAACAAAAAAATCTCAAATTGCATTTTTAGCATTTTTGTGAGAAGCATTCTTGAGACAAAGTATTGGCCAACGGATACTTTTGTTTGTTTCTGCCGGTACAAATTATCTGGCACAGCGCGGATATTAGTGTTTATGTTTTTCTTTAGATGGGGCAAATTATATTTCAAAGCCGCACACCGTCTATTTATGATTATGAATTTAGAATTAATTGTTAATATGAAATTATAACTTAACTTAAACATATATAGGAATATTTAAAATATTCAAAATTCATTTAATTCTTTTTACAATAGCTCAAATCCAATGCAACACAACAATGTTTGGAGGGAATTAGGTTAACTGCTTAAAACCTAATGCCCTCCAATAATTTTTCCTGGATTGATTTAGGCATCGACTTCAACTTTTTGGAAAATTTTTATTCAAATAAGTGAGACTGACGGTTGTAGGTATTGAGTGAAAACTGTAATTTAAAATATTTTTTTATTAGTCTGTCATGAATAATGACTATACATATATAAAAATATAGTTAATCAATTCATTTCAGGAATAGGATAGAAATTCAACACCTCAATCGCCCCCTGGCTAGATGCCTGCCATCACAGATTATCTTTCAATGCAATTGTTATTTCATGTTGAGTCCTTTGGAAGAAAATTACGAAATAGAAATAATAGAAATTAAAATATATAATAGAATAATAATTAATAATTTGTAATCTGGATAAAATAATTTTAACTATATTAAATCAAGAAGTCAAATAGGCTGATTTTTTTTATTTAAATTTTTATTTAGGTACGTATATGTCAACTTTCTTTTGAAGTAATTTATATTTAATTATATATAATTTTTTATTTTAACGTCAAACTAATTACACTCCTCTTTAGATGTTCGTGGATATGAATGACTCTCTTAAGCATTTGGCACGTGACAACAATTCGGAGTTATGGGAAAAGTCAGAAATTCATATTAAAAAGTCTTGGTGGACAATCCAGATGCATCTGTAGAAGAAACTGGTTACAGTTTAGGTGAAGATATCAATTCATGGGTTATCCTCCATAACCCAGTCCTCCACGGACCGTAAATGTTGTGAACAATTTTAAACATTCAGTAGACAACCAAACTAGATACATATTCTTGTGGCGTTGAATTATGGAAAACTGAAGTGATGACTTTTGTGACAAAATACGGCAATATGTGGAGGAGTGCGAATTTTTGCAAGGATTCCAAACAATTTTTGATTGTTATAATGGATTTAGCGGCTGGCCTCTAAATATTTGAATGACGAATATATCTAAAAATATACTCGTACTTTTAGAAAACTCAAGTAAGTTATGATAATTTAAAATAATTCAAAAGCTTTTTATTTTAAATAATTTAGATGTACCTATGTCTGATTCCATACGGGTTCCGCCTATGTTTATTCAAATCACCACCCAAGATCGAGTTTATCGTCAGGCCAAATGGGTAGCAGCAAGATTTGCAATGCCGTCTCAAATGCAACAACAGCAACAAAAGGTTTACCAGCGGAAAGGATAGTATAACCAGGACCAACGGAGTATTCCACTGAGTTAGGGAATACAGTGGACACATTGCATCGTGAAGCTTAGCAAATGAAAATTGCAAAATTACATCGTTTTAAAATGTTGGAGTTGATACAGTGGAGGAGGATGAGTATGTTGATGCTTTAGAAAGTTTACTGCTGTTCAAGGATAATTATTTTGATAACCTCGTGTTGTAGCTGTACATACAAGGTCAGAAGAAAAATAATTTACTAGAAATCTTATATTTCTTAAAAGTATAAATATAATTATATATTATCTAGTTATCCAAGCTAAATTAATAGTTGTTCACACAAGCAAAACATTTCGTTTTAATACAGTCATTTACTACATAATGCCTTAAATTATCTGAGCTTAGTAAATTTTAAAGCCAGGTTATGGATGTTAATGACCCAGGGTTAATTTATGAAGCTACTAGTTTTATTCGTAGAGAATGGATTTTCTGCTATTTTTTAATTAATTTCTTTTAATAGGAGAGTGAAAAGTGAAAATTTTCAGTACTTAAAATTTCCTATTTATTTATAATACTTAACATATATTTAATTAATCTTCATATCTCGGGAGAAGAGCTTGATAACATATAATTTTAATATTTATAGAATACAATAAGTATTTTTCTTCAAATTATTGTTGCAATGAAGTTATAACATTAATAGATAACATACGTATGATTGATGTGATGTCTAGTGAGTAAATAATATAATTATTGTAGCAATTGCCGGGGGTTTGTGAAAAAATTGATTAATTGATCAATTGATGTTAGTTATATATAAAATGTGTTCCCATTAACTGTTTATTATATATATAATAAAATTTATTTTTTATTGAGTGGGGGTCTTAATAATTTGCGACTAAGTAGTAACATATATGTTGTTCTTTCGTCCACCTTACTAACTGGAGACCGTACGATTTCAAACGAAACTACGGTATTGACGATTTCTGCCCAAAATTTCATATTCATATCTGTCGCATGAATCATCGAGCGTCTTAGCTCCGTTCTATCTTTCGTTTTACATACCCAGTCTGCTGAGGAGTCAGTCTACACTGTCCAATAATGCTCTACATTAATTTGAATACAAATTTGCATTAGTTCGTTATTTTCACATTTAAGGTCATTGAATATTATATTAAGGGTAAAAGTATAACAATTCTATTCCTTTTTGTTATTAGTTTTAATTTAAGTGAGCTTGGCTCCCACGTCATATATTTGGGATATTTAATATTTGTTTTGAGCTGAGAAATAAAGTCTCGTACTTAAAACAATTTTAAATCATTTAACATCTATTCTTATATTCCATAAATATTTTTGTGTTGAAAGTGAAAGTTGCTATTATCAGGATTACCTTCAACATTTAAATAGAACTAAGTTTTATCTTTAACGTATTCATTAAAATGATTTATATCAACATTTCAAATGATCAGCTGACCAATAGAAGGCACTCGGTACTACTAACCGATGAGTAACGACTGTATTGGACAGCTAGGTGTTTGATTTGCTGCTTACAAAGTTAAGGTAAGGTGTTAAGGTGTATTTAAGTTTTCAGCTTTTGCAATCGGGAAAACTGATACATCTAATCTTGAGTCGAAGACAAACCTCTTTTTTGTTTTTTTTAACACAAATAAACAGGCGACAAATTTGTGGGTAATGCTCACCCTTTACCAAAGATGAGAAGAAGCCCAGTAGTTTTTTTGGTTGTTTAATTTTCGTTGTTTAATTTACCACGTGTGGACAATGTTAAGAGTTCTGCTATTTGCTGTATGCGCCAATGTCGTATATACTAGCGTCAAGTCACCAATTGTGTCGTTTGTTTATACTCCAGAAGGAAATGTTACTTTATTTCAGTTACGTTTTTACAATATTTACATTTAATGTATGAGTCTATTCATATGTTTCAATGAGATGTACGAACGCGATATTCAAGTTGATTATGCCGTTGGTAAGTTAGCCGCTGTAGTTTTATAAACTGTTCCGAAGTTGGAACAGCCACTTTCAGTTACTAAAATTCTTGCATGTGACTAAGCTGTCTCCGACGCGGCGATAGTTGCTGGTACTGCAAATATCTTAAAACTTGATTTGTGCAATAATGGATGTTCTGATCTATTCGAATACCACCATTGGAGAATGTCACATTCATTAGGTGACACTCCCTTGATGTTCTCATATGAATCTATTTCACTGTTTATTATTCCATTTTTTGAATCATATTGTGTTTCAATAAACGCACTAAACAAATCAATCGTTAAGTATCTTTTCAGAAAGATCTGTAGTGGTTTATTACATTTACTTTTTATTTCGATCCTAACACTCTTTTGTTGAAACGAATAACTTTATTTGTTTATTATAATTATTTATTATAAAATATTATTATACTTTGAGGATGGTAACTCGTAGTTCGTAAGTGTTTGCAACCGATAACTTTAGCTATTTGGTAAAAAAAAAAAAAGTACCAATTTTGGTACTAAAGTACCATAAGTGGCAACCGTGGTTGTGATACGTAAGGGTACGCCAAAACGTGCGATCCATTGAGTAATCAGTGACACTCTTTTTTTGAAATGAATAACTTTATTTGTTTATTGTAATTATTTATTATAAAATATTATTAAAGTTAAGATTTTTGTTTATATATTTATTTAACATATTCTCTATATTCCAAATAACTATGACAAAGACTTATGGCGGGAGATGCGGTTATTGTTATCTCTTTTCTGCACTGTTGACAGCTCTTTATATATATTTTTGGTGCTGCCATAGATCTATTGATTGCTTTGAACACGTATTATTAATGAATGAGTCCATAATACGCTTACATTCACTTTTAATACCATCTCTGCAGTGCTAAATTGGATAAGTTTGTTAGTGGGTGGACACAAAAATAATGCGATTTTATGAAAATTATATATTATTTAGCACTGTTGATTCAATTAATAAGTTAAGATGATCTTTCCAAAGTTTAATGGTTGGATAATCTTCATTACTTACTACACACAATTGTTTTAAACGGTACACATGTGGTATAATAAAAAGCTAAGTAGGAGTTGTGTCTGACTGAAGTTTTTTAGATGTTTCTTCAAAAAATTTCAGTAATTTTAATTAATTTCGTGAGGCGGGTTATTCTCTAGTAGAATGTTTCTAATTTCCATCCATGTTTTTCAATCGAATTTAAGACATATTATAATCTGTTTCAACCAGTTGGAGAGAACCTCGTCAAGGAGATTACTAAATTAGAATTTACTCCTACTTTTTTTAATATATTTAGAAAACTCCGCACATTTATCACACATTTCTTTTAATTCCGGTACTTCTTCAATAGATTTTTCGATAACGTGTGAAAATGGTATTTGTATTGTTATTACTATAAAAAAATTGTCTTCTTGTGTGTATGAGTATTTTTGTAAATTTTGAAAAATATTAACAAATTTTAAGAAATTAAATAATATTTGTAAAAGAAATAAATTGCAAAATTTATATTTATATTTATAAAGAGGTTTTTTCGAACAGTAGTGAAATACAACAACAAAAATTTATTGTTTATATTATTTTAATTAATTAAATTTTTGGCTGACCATACACCTGTTTCGAGTATTGCCCAATACCCATCATCAGTGGTCTTGGAAATAATTCTTGTATTTAATTATTCGTAAATAATTATTTTTTTGAGACTGCAAGTACCAGGAATCGAACTCGGGCCTGCCAAATGTGAAGTTCAGAATCAGCGCACCTTAACCAACTGATCCAAAGCCGTACTTGACTTTTTTGTTCGCATAATTTTCTGGAGTTTTTATATATTATATATTTATATTTATGTTATAATTTTTACTTATTATAATTTTTACTTACTATGTCCTGAATATAGTTTCCAAATATTTTTTAGTCTTTTATGGATTTGATGTATGTGTTATATATGGACACAGTAGAAAAAATCTGCGTTCACCCACAAAATTTTTCTTAAATTAAATTAAATTAACTTATTAAATTTTTACTCAAATTAATTTTTGTTTTCTGATTTATTTTAAGCAAAGAAACAGCAATAAAGTTCAAACATAAAAAATTAACAATTGTTATTTAAAAAAAATTAAACACAATCATATGCAAAAGCAACAATTTACAAAGCAGAAAAAGTCTACGTTCACTTTATTATTTATTTTATAAAGTATTTAATAATACTTACAATATCAAATGTTTGTGCCAAATTTCAAAATGTCCGAAAGAATTCGATTATCGGGTTAGCGGTTTATAAAATAAGCGCACTACAATAAGCGTTCCACTATTACTAATCGGGAGATTTGAACTGCTGTCCGTTTTTTACTCCCTGGCATAGATAGTATTGCTCTTCGGTATTTGTCATATTTCGCCAAATCGTCCCAGCAGTCTTATCCGCCTCTACTGGTTTAAGTTTTTTTGTTGACTTTTAAAAGTCTTGCAGAAATTTGAAAAATGCATTCATGTTTACTTAAAAGGTTTTGAAAAAAACAACACTCCAGATCCTTATGTTTGGTACCCAAACTTCACTAGCTTTTATTTATTTATATTTCTTCTATTACCGTTGATTTTGATGCAACGGTAATAGACTGTTTACGGCTTTAAACAGTTTCACAATAGCACTTCTTGAATATCTGCAATTTGTCGTTTTTCACCAAAATTTAAATATAATAGTAAAAAGTTTCGACATTTAAAAAATATACACAATTTTTCTTAATGCCGAAGTTTACATTAATTAAAGGATTTGCTTTTGTTATTTTTTTTTAATAAAGTATTAAGTGAAATCAATCAATCGATCTAACAACAGATGCTTAACCTTTAGAATTAGGAGCTGTACTATTACAAAGTGGGAAGCCGATAACAATGATATGAAGGACTTTAAATGATAACTAAATGAATTTGGTTAACAATAAAAGGGAATTACAAGTAATCTTTTGGGCTTTTAAGAACCTCCGAAATCACCTATATTGACTTCACCTCCTGATCCACACTCAGGATCAGGAATAAGTGTCCTGATCGGCGGGAAGATGAATTTTTATTAATTTGTCAGCTGCATGTCGAGATTTGAGGAAGATGAGGAAGATTTAAGGAAAATGGTAAATAGTTTTCCTTCCACGTCTTCTTTGATGTCCTCTTGGCTCTGCTCCTCCAGACCTCTTAGACAATATTAAGGTTCTTCTCTTCAGGAAGAATGTGGGTATGGAAGGGCTCCTTAATCTCATTCAGGAACTTAGTTAGATAACGATAGTCAGTAGCTGGAGGTATCTGCATGCCCAAGCGCACCTCCTTAGTCTCACTAAACTTTAGGTTTCATGAGTGAAATTGTTTAACCAACGAGCTCTAGGTATTTGTCCGACGGAGTACTATGGGGACAGCTTTGCCTAGTTTGTTGTCGGTGGTAGCACGATT